CGGCCTGCAGGCATGGACTCGCCACACTTCCTGTCCTCTGGGATTCCGCGGCTGGGGCAGCTCCATGTTTCCGGCCAGGCAGATAGCAAGCTTGTTGAGCAGTTCCAGACTGCAGAGTGACAGGAAGTTCTCCTCAGAGCGTCAGCATATTCCGCTGCCCTACACGAGAATGCTCTAGAAGGAGGGCTTCTTCATGTGGTCCGAGCTTTGGGTTTTTATACCTTTAATTTTTAAGCATGTCGTTATTCTTTTGTATATCATCCCTTATCTGTCTATGCCGGCTGGTTCCTGGCCTTCTCAGCTTATCTCCTACAGCGTGTGCTTCTCGGCACACTCTCTCACTGCAGGTATCTGTCGCTGTACCTGGAGTTCACCAGTTTGGCTATGCTGGCTGCTCAGTAAACCCCAGGGTCCCTCCTGTCTCAGCAGCTTCAGTGTTGGGATGTTGGAATGGTCCGACCATGGAGCTGTCTAGTAGAATTCTGAGTGCTTGTGAGAAAACGTCAAGAAAACAAGGCAAGACTCTTGTAACCTCAGTTTCATCAGAACACAGAATTGTTCTTGGAATGTGTTTTTGTGCTCTATCCAGGCGTAGCAGATAAGAGTGAGTTTACTTCAGATTACTCATAAGGGCTGGCTACTACTTCATCTGCCTCTATGGAAAAGCAATTTCTTTGTTTATCACCACGAGCAGCTTTTCCTTGTGGTTGTACACTTTTCTCATGTGATTCTTCTTAACTCTCAGAGTATAAATTGTCTGATGATCTGAGTGAAGTTGGCTATTGCGTGAGACTTTAGTCTGCCTTGTTCTTGGCCAACTAGAGTAGTAAACACTTGGGTAACTGATATGTGCCTCAGCAAGTAGCTTTTTAAATGTGGTCGGGATCCAAACTCAGGTCATTGTACTTGCAGGGCAAGCTCTTTTTCTGACTGAGTCTTCTCACCAGACTTGATTTGTGTTTTGTTTTTCTACGTATTAGTATTAGTGCTTTGCCACAAGAACTGTTGATTTCAGATCCATTAATGAAATTTTAACACCCTAAGGGTGGCAGACGTTAGTACATCAGATCAAAGTATTAAGTTTTCAGTGGTAGAGTATGTACCTAGCATGTGCAAGGAATGCTCTGCGCTGGACCCCAACATTCTCTCTTTTTCTCCCATATGTTCAGAGAAACAGTAGTATCAGCATAATGAAGATGCTGTTCTTCACCGCCTTAATCATACAGTTGCCAGCTCTTGGTGAACTTTCATATTTGCCCTTCTCTCTGGGTTATTTTGAAGCAACCCTCAGATATTATTTACTTCTATTTTGAAGTATTTGAACAGTTATCTCTAAAAGGTGAAGCTGCACAATTGCATCTCACCCAAAGCACAGTAATTCCTTACCATTTAATGCCCAGCCAGTGTTTTAAGTGTGCTCAGTGATCTTATGTTCTCTCATGCAAGTTGCTTGAGCTGCAGCAGGGACGGCACGCTCGGGTCGCAATCTGTTACTGGCTCTGAAGAGTCAGTACACAGGCTGCCTCTTGAGCACAGATTGTTCTTTCTGTTACAGGAAGGTGTTTTATTGTACAGTTGCCACCACCTGCACTCTCTGTAAATCGCCTTAGATTTGGAGGCTTGATCAGATTCAGATTTAACACTGAGGCAGGAGGACAGATTTCTTCAGTGTGCGTCCCCACAGGAGGTGTGTGTCTGCACCTTTCTTTCCTGTGGTGTTCCCACCATTAGTGATCATTGCTTTGTTTCATTGTTTCATGAGGGGTTGAAAAATGACACGATTCTAATTTTGCATTTTATCATTTCCCTTTCCACTATTTGCTAAAAATAACCCTCTTGTTTTGAGATACAATTTTGGCAGCAAAGGTAAGGTACTATCCCCGCCCCCCCAACATCTTTCAAAGGTCATTAGTTGGAAACTCATTTAGCATCTCATGAAATTGTGGGATTAAGTATTTTTCATGTTTTAATCCTTTGCTGATGTAATCCTTATGATTAAAGTCTTCTCTCTTTGAACAGTAAGAGCTTCTTCAGTTTGGCACATGAGCCCTTTCCACATCCTGTCAGCAGTGGCTCATGACTTCTTTGCTCTTTAGAATAACCAATCCACTGGATTCTCCAGTTCATCTTATATGCTTTCTCCTTCAGACATGGTCTTACACATTTGCATGCCTCTGCCTTCACAAATAATATCAGACATGTTCTCAAGGAACATCATTTAGATATGATGTGTGGGCCTGCCTAGCTTCTTTCTTGTTTCTAGGATTTATCACTGGACATAGATAAAAATGTGTTTTTTTTTTTTTTTTATTAAAAGATAAAACTCACCATGCATTCACATTGATGCCTCTGATACAGATTTTGGGATTAAGGCTGTGAAAACTCATATAAGCACATTCTTGTTTTTTTTTGTATTGAACATTCCAATCAAGTACCGCCACAGCTGCCCACTTGCTTTGTTCCTGCTATACAAGTATTAATGTGAGAATAAAGTGCCAACAAAGATTACCCAAATCAGCCTTCAACACTTTTATCATTAGTTTTTATCACATATTTACAACATCTTTACTGTGTATTTACTGGTGTGCATGTGTGTGCACGTGTGTGAGTGTGTGTGTGTGTGTGTGTGTTTCAGAAGACAGCCTCTGGTGTGTCAGTCCTTGCCTTCTACCCTGCAACTTGTATTTTAAAGTAATCTGAACTGGTTACTTTGTGTTTTCGCCACCAACTTTATATTACCTAATTTGTTTAATGTGTTCTAATGTTTAGGAATTGCTTAAAAAAATCTTTCCCCAAATTATAGTTTTTGAGGCCAAGTGTGTAAACAGTTCTGTACAGTAGAAGTTAGTGTCCACTGCTGGCCTAAACTCTGCCCTCTCTCTTCTCTAGTAGCTGTTTTCATGTGGCTAGCTTTTCAAATGTAAATTTATTAAAGTGAAATAAGCATTTGTTCTTTAGTCACACCGGGGATATTTTAAGTACAGTTACACAGGTGGTTCATGACCTCATAGAACACGGACTGTAGAACTTCACTGACATGGTCGAGAGTTGTACTTCACAGCCCTACCCTAAAGAACCTATTTCTTTAAACATTTTATTTATCCTTTATTTTTTAAAAATAAAAGGTTATATATTTTTCCTCATGTCACAAAATACACAAAGCTGAGTACTTAGAAAGAAGAAATGTAGTTTACCTCACACTAGAGGTGGGGAAACTCAAGACTATGGTCTCCTGTGAGGACCTTCTGGCAGATGATGGAAGCCCTACGTGGTGGCAATCACATGATGGGATAAGAAGCCAGTGGGGTGTGGGGGTCAGCCCTCACCTGAGGATACGGGCTCTGCTTTCTGTGTTAGAGAAGCTCTTGACCACTGAGCTATATTCCCACCCCTTTATTTTCCTTTGAGGATGAGCCTTGCTAAGTTGCCCAGGCTGCTCTGGATCTCATGGTGCTCCTACCTCATCCTTTCTTGTAGCTGGAATCATAGGTATGTAGCATCATGCTTGGTTCTGGCTTGGTTTTTATAAACAACACATCATCTCAAGAACTCATTGTGGGAGATCAGGGTTAATTCTTTCCAAGGGTAATACTCTCATGACCTAATTACTTTGTATAAATCTGTGTCTTAAAGACACCGTCAGAAGACTTTGTCAGCCTGAGCGTAACCCAACCCTTTCCTGCTCTCCTCTGCACCCCATGGTTTTCCACGTGCTGCTCATGCTAGGCCAGTGGTGTGCCTCTGAGCGATGCTCCAGTCTGTCCTTAGTGTATCCTAGAGACTTTCCCAGACTGTAGAATGGATACAGAAAGTTAAGATCGTCCTTATCACTTCAGTAGCTGACAGTTAGAAGGCCAGCTCCTTGCTGGTGGCATTCTGGTAGTTGGAGTTTATCATTGAACTGTGAGTAGTGGTGTTGCTTATGCATACATCTTTTCATGCATTAGGAAGCGCTTTACTATTAATATTAACTTCACCTTTAGGGCTCTGTCTTCCAAATATCAAGAGAGGAATTCTTCTCATTATAAAAGTAACCTAATTCCATTTCTCTCCCTTTTTTTTTTCCTTGTTGCTTTCAAGACATGGTTTCTCTGTGTAGCTTTGGCTGATCTAGAACTCACTCTATAGACCAAGCTGGCCTCAAACTCAGAGATCTGCCTACCTCTGCCCCCCAAGTACTGTGGTTAAAGGCATGTGCCACCACTGCTCTGCCTAATTTTATTTTTTTACCTCATTTTTTACAGGGTGCTATGAGATCCTTGTGCTAAGGATGATTTTTTTTTCATTAAATGTGTTTTAAAGTTTATACTTTTGTTTTACATTTTTATAGTCAATCCTAGGTAATTTTTTATTTTAATTTTATTTTATGTGCACTAGTGGTTTTGCTTGCATGTATGTCTGTGTGAGGGTCTGGATCTGGAGTTTCAGACAGTTGTGAGCTGTCATGTGGGTGCTGGGAATTGAACTTAGGACCTCTGGAAGAGCAGCCAGTGCTCTTAACCTCTGAGCCATCTCTCCAGCTTCCGGTATTTTTCTTATTAGCAGATTTTTTTTTAATCACCCCCACATAGAAAAATATTGGCAATTTGATCATTATTGTCTAATAAATTTTCAGGATTGTGTTATATATGTCTCAGGATTCAAGGGAAATCAAAATTAGTTGACATTTTTTTCAGAAGGAATGTTATTTTCTAGGCCATGACAGAACCTGTCTTATTTCAAATATGTAAGTTAATATATAAAAATATAAATGGTAACCTCTTTTTTATCATTGTATGCTGTAAATTATTTTGCCTGTAGTCACTCTCCATTTGATTAGAGAAATCATCTCATGACCCTTTGCTGAGTCTGCTTTCTTTCCTCACTGTAGGGGATAAAGCGTGTCTTGTGTTTACGGATGTGGACTACAGACATAGCATGAAGAAAACCAACTGCACATAAATAAACATCACCACCAGGATACCAAACCTATGAAAATATTCTTCAGTATTTTCATGAATCTGTAAAATTATGTGATGAGAGGTCATTGTGGCAGACAATGGGGGAAAGATCCAGAAGCCCAGGTACCGATCAAAAAAGAAAAGTAGGCAAGCAATATTGCTCTCATTACTCATCTGACTTTGGATCCTCACCACAGTCTTCCGGACACTCATCGCCCATCAATTCGTCTTTACGTAGGAAGGAGAAGAATGCCAAACAACAGTTGTTAGACAACCAGAGTAAGTGTCTGCAGAAGATCCCAGGCACCCTTGACACTCGGGTGCAGTGCAGCAAAGACCCGTGTGAATGAAGCTTTTCTTTCAGTGCGTATATTGCAGTGTATGCAGAATGAGCTGATTTGCATTGCAAATTGGCTTTATTTTCATAAATTGTAGGTTGCTTATACTTATATATTACTACATATTACCATTTTTATACTTAGTCATATAGGAGAAAGCACCATTTTTCTTCTTCTTTGTGAACTCTGAGGCACTTACTCTAAGGGCAAAACCTACAAAGTGATTGTACTTTTCTGTATTTTTGTTTTCTAAAGTAATTGAATACAGTTATTTTAGAATTGGTTATGAGGCATTTTTATGGACAGAGCTGTCGTCCATAAATGCTCACTGAAAATGCACAACTTCAACCTAGGGTTGGGTTTAGGACTCTGGAGTATTGTCCAGTTTGTTTACCATTCACTGGCTTAAAGGAGACTAGGTTATTATTAAGCATTTTTTATTAAAAACAGCATGTTTAGCTGTGTAGTGTTATGTAGATATCTTCATTTTAAAAAATTTGTGGGTCTGGAAAAATCCCATTGTTCTGAGCAACAAAATGCACAAAGTCTGAAAGAACAGCACAGACCAATAAGCTGTGTTGAGTGAAGTGATTATGATCCACTGATGCATGTAGCACAGTTATGATAGTAACAACTAGTAACAGTTAGTAACACAGATAAGTAACAACTACAGACCGTTGTAGAAAGTGGGAAGTTGGGGGCTGAGGAGAAAACAGAAGCCACATAGCGAACTACCCACATCCTATGCTAATAGATCATAGTCATTATTTTGTGGATGACACCATTGGACCAATTTAAGAAAGGGTTTGATTAAGTTTTCATTAGAAATTATTACTTTGTTTTTTTTTTTAATTTTATTTTTCTTTTTAGTTACATTTTGTTAACTCTTTGTCCCAGCTGTATTCCGCTCCCTCATTCCCTCCCCAACCCCACACTCCCTCCCTGGTCTCCTCCCTGCCCCTTTCCAAGTCCACTGATAGGGGAGGACCACCTCCCCTTTCATTTGACCCTGTTTTATCAGGTATCTTCAGGGCTGGCTGCAAAGTCCTCCTCTGTGGCCTAACAGATTGCTCCTCCCCCGGGGGGGGGGGGATGTCAAACAGCCTGCCCTTGAGATCCTGTTAGAAATAGTCCGTGTTCCCCTTACTTTGGAGAACTACTTGGTTACTGAGCTACCACGGGCCACATCCGAGCAGAAGTTCTAGGTTATATCCATAGATGGTCCTTGGTTGAGTGTCAGTCTCAGAAAAGACCCTGTGCCCAGATATGTTTGGTCCTTGTAGAGCTCCTATCTTTTCCATATCATACTAACTTCCCTTCTTTCATATGATTTCCTGCGCTCTGCCGAGGGTTTGGTTATGAGTCTTAGTGTCTGCTTTGAAACACTGCTAGGTAGAGTCTTTCAGATGCCTTTTGTGGTAGACTCCTGTCATACGTTCAATGCACATCCCATTTGTCTTTCTAAATGAGGATTAATCACCTTCGCCTGTGTCCACTTTCTTGATTATCTTCTTTAGGTGTGTAGATTTCATTATGTTTATCATACCTTGTAGGTCTATATAAGCGAGTATATACCAAGTTTGTCTTTCTCCTTCTGGGATACTTCACTCAGAATGATCTTTTCTAGATCCCACCACTTGCCTGCAAATTTCATGATTTCCTCCTTTTTGATTGCTGAGTAGTATTCCATTGTGTAAAAATACCACAATTTCTGTACCCATTCCTCCTTTGATGGGTTGTTTCCAAGTTCTGGCTATTACAAATAAAGCTGCTACGAACATGGTTGAACAAGTGTCCTTGTTGTGTACTTGAGCAAATTTTGGGTATATACCTAGGAGTGGTATAGCTGGGTCTTGAGGTAGCACTACTCCTAGTTGTCTGAGAAAGCGCCAGATTGACTTCCAAAGTGGTTGTACCAGTTTACATTCCCACCAGCAATGGAGGAGGGTTCCCTTTTCTCCACAACCTCTCCAGCATGTGCTATCACTTGAGTTTTTCATGTTGGCCATTCTGATGGGTGTAAGGTGAAATCTCAGGGTCGTTTTGATTTGCATTTCCCTAATGGCTAATGAGGTTGAGCATTTCTTTAAGTGTTTCTCTGCCATTTGATGTTCCTCTTTCGAGAATTCTCTGTTTAGCTCTGTTCCCCATTTTTTAATTGGATTACTTGGTTTGCTGCTTTTCTGCTTCTTTAGTTCTTTATATATACTGGATATTAGCCCTCTGTCAGATAAAGGGTTGGTGAAGATTCTTTCCCAATCTGTAGGCTGTCTATTTGTTTTGATGACAGTGTCTTTTGCTTTACAGAAGCTTTTCAATTTCATGAGGTCCCATTTATTGATTGTTGCTCTTAGAGCCTGTGCTGTTGGTGTTCTGTTCAGGAAGTTGTCTCCTGTGCCAATGAGTTCTAGGCTGTTCCCCACTTTTTTTTCCAACTGATTTAAAGTATCTGGTTTTATGTTGAGGTCCTTGATCCACTTGGACTTTAGTTTTGTGCAGGGTGATAAATATGGATCTATTTTCATTTTTCTGCATGTAGACATCCAGTTGGTCCAGCACCATTTGTTGAAGATGCTGTCTTTTTTCCATTGAATGGATTTGGCTTCTTTGTCAAATATTGAGTATTCATAGGTGTGTGGGTTTATTTCTGGGTCTTCTATGCGGTTCTATTGATCCTCCTTTCTGTTTCTATGCCAATACCATGCAGTTTTTATTACTATTGCCCTGTAGTACAGCTTGAGATCGGGAGATACCTCCAGATGATCTGTTGTTGTATAGGATCGTTTTGGAGATTCTGGGTTTTTTGTTTCTCCATATGAAGCTGAGAATCTTTTTTTCAAGGTCTGTAAAGAATTGAGTTGGTATTTTGATGGGAATTGCATTGAATCTGTAGATTGCTTTTGGCAGGATGGCCATTTTCACAATGTTAATCCTACCAATCCATGAGCACAGGATATCTTTCCATCTTCTGAGATCTTCTTCAATTTCTTTCTTCAGAGATTGAAGTTTTTCTCAAACAGGTCTTTCACTTGTTTGGTTAGTGTCACCCCAAGGTACTTTATGTTATTAGTGGCTATTGTGAAGGGTGTTGTTTCCCTAATTTCTTTCTCAGCCTTTTTGTCTTTGGTATACAAGAGGGCTTCTGATTTTTTTGAGTTGACTTTGTATCCTGCCACTTTGCTGAAGGTGTTTATCAGCTGAAGAAGTTCTCTGGTTGAATCTTTGGGGTCGCTCATGTATACTATCATATCATCTGCAAATAGTGACACTTTGACCTCTTCTTTTCCGATTTGTATCCCCTTGATCTCCTTTAGTTGTCTTATTGCTCTGGCTAGCACTTCAAGTACAATGTTGAAGAGATATGGAGAGAGTGGGCAGCCTTGTCTTGTCCCTGGTTTCAGTGGGATTGATTTAAGTTTCTCTCCATTGAGTTTGATGTTGGCTATAGGCTTGTTGTATATTGCCTTTACTATCTTTAGGTATGTGCCTTGTATCCCTGATCTCTCCAAGACTTTAAACATAAATGGGTGTTGGACTTTGTCAAATGCTTTTTCAGCATCTAAGGAGATGATCATGTGGTTTTTCTCCTTCATTTTGTTTATGTGGTGGATTACATTGATGGATTTCCGTATGTTGAACCACCCTTGCATTCCTGGGATGAAGCCTACTTGGTCATGATGGATGATATCTTTGATGTGTTCTTGGATTCGGTTTGCAAGTATTTTATTGAGTATTTTTGCATCAATGTTCATAAGAGAGATAGGTCTGAAGTTCTCTTTTTTTGTTGGATCTTTGTGTGGTTTAGGTATCAAGGTGACTATGTCTTCATAGAATGAGTTTGGTAGTGTTCCTTCTATTTCTATTTTGTGGAATAGTTTGAGGAGAATTGGTGTTAGTACTTCTTTGAAGGTCTTGTAGAATTCTGCGCTGAAGCCATCTGGTCCAGGGCTTTTTTTGGAGGGGAGACTGTTAATGACTGCTTCAATTTCCTTGGGAGATATAGGGCTATTCAGTCTTTCTACCTGATCTTGACTTAGTTTTGGTAGATGGAATCTGTCAAGAAAGTTATCCATTTCATTTAGATTTTCAAATTTTGTGCCATATAGGCTTTTGTAGTATGACCTAATAATCGTTTGGATTTCCTCAGTGTCTGTAGTTATGTCCCCATTTTCCTTTCTGATTTTGCTGATTTGGATAGTTTCTCTCTGCTTTTTAGTTAGTTTGGCTAAGGGTTTGTCTATCTTGTTGATTTTCTCAAAGAACCAGCTTTTTGTTTCATTGATTCTTTGGATAATTTTATTTGTTTCTAATTGATTGATTTCTGCCCTTAGTTTGATTATTTCCAGCCGTCTGCTCCTCTTGGGTGTATCTGCTTCTTTTTTTTCTAGGTTTTTCAGTTGGGCCATTAAGTTGTTTGTATGTGATGTTACGGATTTCTTCTTGTAGGCACTTAGTGCTATAAATTTTCCTCTGAGCATTCCTTTCAATGTGTCCCATAAATTTGGGTATGTTGTGCCTTCATTTTCATTGAATTCTAGAAAGTCTTTAATTTCTTTCTTTATTTCTTCCTTGACCCAGCTGTCATTGAGTAGTAAGTTGTTCAGTTTCCATGTGTGCGTCGGCTTTTTGTTGTTTCTGTTGTTGTTGATGTCCAGCTTTAGTCCATGGTGGTCAGATAGTATACAAGGGATTATTTCAATCCTTTTGTATCTGTTGAGGCTTGCTTTGTGACCAACTATATGGTCTATTTTGGAGAAGGTTCCATGTGGTGCTGAAAAGAAGGTGTACTCTTTTGAGTTTGGGTGAAAAGATCTGTAGACATCTATTAGGTCCATTTGATTTAGGGATTCTGTGAGTGCTTTTATTTCCCTATTTGGTGTCTGTCTGGTTGATCTGTCCCTTGATGAGAGTGGGGTGTTGAAGTCTCCTACTATTAAGGTATTAGGATCAATGTATGATTTAAGCTTTAATATTGTTTCATTTACGAATGTAGGTGCTCTTGTATTTGGGGCATAGATATTCAAAATTGTGATGTCCTCTTGTTGGATTTTTCCTTTGATGAGAATATAGTGGCCCTCCTTATCTTTTTTGATTAACTTGGGTTGAAAGTCTATTTTATTAGATATTAGGATGGCTACTCCAGCTTGTTTTCTGGAACCATTTGCTTGAAAAACATTTTTCCAGCCCTTTACTCTGAGGTAGTGTTTATCTTTGTTGCATAGGTGTGTTTCTTGGATGCAACAGAATGTTGGGTCCTGTTTCCGTAACCATTCTGTTAGCCTGTGTCTTTTTATTGGTGAGTTGAGTCCATTAATATTGATAGATAATATTGACCAATGCATGTTAGTTCCTTTTGTAATGGAGTCGATGATCTTACCCTGTTTCATTGCTTGTTTTCTTTTCATTTTTGTTGGGATATTATCTGTATGCCCTGTTTTCTTGGGTAAATTCGTTTTTGTTGGATTGGAGTTTTCCTTCTAGTATCTTCTGTAGGGTTGGTTTGCTGTATAGATATTGCGTAAATTTAGTTTTGTCATGGAATATTTTGTTTTCTCCATCTATGTTGATTGAAAGCTTTGCAGGGTATAGTAGTCTGTGTTGACATTTGTGATCTCTTAGAGTCTCCATGATGCTTGCCCAGGCCCTTCTGGCTTTCATAGTTTCTGATGAGAAGTCTGGTGTGATTCTGATAGGTCTACCTTCATATGTTACTTGGCCTTTTTCCCTTGCTGCTTTTAATATCTTTTCTTTGTTCTGTAGATTTAGTGTTTTGACTATGATGTGACGTGATGTGTTTCTTTTCTGGTCTAGTCTATTTGGTGTTCTGTAGGCCTCTTGTATATTTATGGACATCTCTTTCTTTAAGTTGGGAAAATTTTCTTCTATGATTTTCTTGAAAATATTTTCTGGACCTTGGAGCCTGGAGTCTTCTTTTTCATCAATTCCTATTATTCTTAGATTTTGTCTTTTCATAGCATCCTTGATTTCTTGGATATTTTGTGATTGGAATTTTTCTGATTTTACTTTTTCTTTGAGAGAAGTATCAATTTCTGCAAGTGTGTCTTCAGCTCCAGAGATTCTCTCTTCCATCTCTTGTATTCTGTTGGTGATGCTTACTTTTGTGGTTCCTGATCTTTTCTCCAAGTTCTCCAGCTCAAGAGTTTTCTCATTTTGTGTTTTCTTTATTGATTCTAATTCTGTTTTCATGCCTTGCACCATTTCTTTCATGTGTTTGAATTTGGATTCCTGTCTCTCTACGATGGACTTTATTTCTTTGTACATTTCCTTTTTGTATGCTACTAATTTTTTCTCTACTTGTGCCTCTATTTGTTTGGCTATGTTTGCCTGTGTTTCTTTAAGGTTTTTGTCTATTTCTTCTTTCTTTACCTCCAATTGAATGGCCAACTCTTTGAAAGATTTGTTCATTTCCTCCTTATGAGCCTCAAATAATTGAGCAAGCATGGCTTTAAGGTCATTTTCCTGTGCTTCGGATGAATTGGAGTATCCAGCGATTTTGGGGTTTGCTGGTGAAGTCATGATGTCCTTATTTATGTGTTCTTTCGCCTACCCCTGGCCATTGGCTTATCTGAGACCTTCCCTGTTTGTTTTGGGATTCTGCCGATCAGACTGGTACTGTCTCTCTCTCGAGTCTGGAGAATTCTTCAGGAAGTTGAGAGAGGTCCCGTGTCCTTAGCGTGTGCTGAGGACTAGCTGTACAGGCAGGTCACTTGGCAGAGATCGGGGTATCTGGGCTCTCTGCTCTCTGGTTTGGCCCTTCTTCTTTGATGTGCTCCGCCAGTTCCATGCTGCTGTCACTGCCAGGTTATGAGGTCTTGCTGCAGCTGGAGATTTCAGGGTGGTCACGTCAGTAGGAATCGGGGTAACCAGGCTTTCTCTTTTCTGGTTTGGCCCTGGTTAGTCTTAAACTGGAGGGCTGATGTGCCCCGCCAGCTCAGTGCTGCTCTGCCGCCAGGTTAGAAAGTCCCACTGTAACTGGAGACTGGGTTGCTAGTCCAGATGCTTTCTGGGAAGTCCTGGGGTCTCTTCACTGTGCTCTCCAAGCTTCGGAGGCCCAGCGCCTGATGTGTCTAGCTTGTATGGCGTTTCTGTCTGGTTTTGGTGAGTATATCGAAATTATTACTTTGAAGAGCAATGTTTACACATTAAAAGCAACGAAGAGGACCAGCAAGGTGGCTCAGCATTAGGTAAAAGATGTTTGTCCCTCAAGCCTGATGGCATGAGTTTGACCTAGGAACCGTGGAGGAAGGAGAGCCCTAACTTTACAAGTTGCCCTTTGACCCCCACATGTACACACATGCCCTCCAATAACAATAAAAAAGAAGGAAAGCACAAAGAATACGTATCCCCTTGAGAACCACCTGTTCATAGGCCCTGGTCTAGCTCTTCAGGAAGTCCATCTACTGACATTTGAATGATTCTCTTGTTTGACTGCTTTTCATTTCCAGCTTTCTCTCTGTTCTGAGCATCATCTTTGTCTTTAACCTTCTTCTGAATGTGGTTCTTACAATTAATTGGGAGTATGGTCTCAACTACAAAACTCTTGTCAAGTTGAACCTTAGAAAATGCCTAACCTTCCTAAGGATAATTTCTCTATCAGGTATTGTTGGAAAGAAGTGTTTTAATTTTTCTATTCCTTCCCTAGAAGCTCCCCAACTAAGGAGTCAGAACTCTGTGAGCCTTAATTTGAGAACATTTCTGAAAAGAAACAGTGAGAAACAATCCTAGCAGCAGTCAGGAAATTCAGTTAGTATTTTCCCTCTGCATGGCTTTCTGCTCTCTGCTGTCTTTTGAAATGAACTCTGAGGTCATTTTTCTGTCTTAGATCAAGCCACAGAACCCAACTGAATTAATTTCTTGTCTCAGTTACTGTTCTGTTGCTACAAAGTGATGTCTTGACCAATGGCATCTTATGAAAGACACGGCAATTCTTATGAAAGAAAGCATTTAATTGGGAACTTGCTTACAGTTTTAGAGGGTTAATCCATGATCATCATGGAAAGGAGTATGGTTGGAGGTAGCCAGGAAGAGAGAAAGAAAGAGAGACTAGGCATGGGCTTTTGAAGCCCATCCCCAGTGACACACCTTCTCCAACAAGGCCACACCTCCCAATCCTTCTCAAATAGTTCCACTAATTGGGGACAAAACTTTCAAACATATGAACCTGTGGGGACTACCATACTCCTGGTACCAATTTCTGTTAAAGTCACTGTGCTGTTACTGTGAAAGACACCATGACCAATGCACCCTGCACATTTTGAAAAAGCATTTAACTGATGGCTTGCTTGGTTTCAGATGGTTAGTCGGTTATGACAGGGAGTGTGGTGGAACTTGAGCAGGCATGGTACAGGAAAGTTAACTGAGAGTTTTACATTCTGACCCACCGACAGCAGGCAGAGAATGAGCCTGGTGTGATATTTTTGACTTGGAAGTTGATTTTGTTTATTTGTTATTATTTTTTTTTTATTTTAACTTACCTTTTAATAGGCTTTTAGATACCTCTTTTTAAAGAGTAGGTCTGTGTATATCCTGAAGCTTACACTCAATAAATCTTTAATAAAAACTCTGAGAAAAGTTATAATTTAATGTATACTTTAAGAATTCTATGTGCTTTAAAACTGACATTTATTTCATTTGTGTATATCTCTGTGTGTGTGTGTGTGTGTGTGTGTGTGTGTGTGTGTATGTAACTCAGGTGTATGTGTGTGGGGAAGCTGGAGGACAACATTGGGTGGCATTTCTCAGGAGCGCCCACCTTGCTTTTTGAGACAGTAACTCTTCATTGGTTTGTATCTGGCCCAAGTGGTCTGGCCTGGCTGGCTAGTGAGTCACAGGGATCTTCCTGTCCTTACCTTTGAAGTGCTGGGATTACAAGCTTACATCACCATGCCTGGCTTTTTATGGTGGCTGATTTTACCGTGACTGGCTTTTTACGTGGGTTGTGGAGAGTAAACTCTGTTTCTTATGCTTGTATGACAAACACTTTGCCAACTGAGACATTTCTCTCCCCAAAACCTCTTTAAATAGAAATCAAGACCTTAAAAAATCGTCCCTGATATTTAATTTTTGCATAGCCCTAGCTAGCCTGGAACTTGCTGTATGTACTAGACTGGCCTCCAACTCAGACCCACCTACCTCTGCCTTCCAAGTGCTGGGATTAAAGGCATGCACCACTGCACTTAACCTCAAATATATATATATATATATATATATATATATATATATATATATATATGTATATATTTTTTTTTTCAGAACAAAAATTAGAAAAAAAATGGATTTACTTCTTGTGAATGCGTAAGGCCTTCACTCACATTATGACTGTTTCTCTTTTAGACCCTACGAAAGTGAGTGCTAAAGGGATCAGCAAAAAGGGATCCCAGGTGGGACTGCGGTCGCAAAGCCTCAACAGAGAGCCGCTTCGGAAAGATACAGATATCGTAACAAAGCGGGTTCTTTCTGCAAGACTTCTGAAAATCAACGAGTTGCAGAACGAAGTGTCCGAACTGCAGGTCAGGTTAGCCCAGCTGCTGAAAGAAAACAAGGCTTTGAAAAGCCTTCAGTTTCGCCAGGAGAAAGCACTGAATAAGTTCGAAGATGCGGAGAGTGAAATCTCGCAACTGATACACCGCCATAACAACGAGGTTACTGCGCTCAAAGAACGCCTACGGAAGTCCCAGGAGAAAGAACGGGCGACGGAGAAGAGGGTGAAAGATACAGAAGGCGAACTATATAGGACAAAATTTTCCTTACAGAAACTGAAAAAGATCTCCGAGGCTAGGCACCTTCCAGAACGAGATGATTTGGCCAAGAAACTAGTTTTGGCAGAATTAAAGTTAGATGACACCGAGAGAAAAATTAAGGTAAAATTGTATGCCTTCCCATTGTGTTTGGTGATAGGTTTGTGGGCTCTGATTAAGCAACCCATTGCAACTGGGCCTTGGCTTAGACCTGAAAGTAGTTTTTAATATTAATTTCCTGGGATAGAAATTAAGGACAGAGTCAGGTTGGTGGTGCGGGCCTTTAGCACCAACACTGAGATATCAGAGGCCAGGCATCTTGGTAAGTTTGAGACCGCTACATACCCTGTCTCAAATAACAACAGTAACAACAAACCCTCAAAAGAGAGGAAGGACAACTAAGAAGGTGTATGCAGGAGCTGGGGAGAAGGCTTGGGTTGTAAAGTACTTGCCCCTCAAACATGAGGAGCTGAGTTCCACCCAAAGTACTTCCTTAAAATTGCTGGGTGTGGGTGGTGGTGAACACTTGAAATTGCAGTGCTGGGGAGGGGAGGTGCAGACAAGCGCCCCTGTGAGGCTCACTAAGCAGCTGGGGAGCTCCAGCTGCCAGTGAAAGACCAAGGCAGGCAGCAGCTGGGAAAGAAGCCCAGGGTTGATCTCCAGCGTCAACACATGCACACACGTATGCATACCTTCACTTACACAAAAGACTGTGTATGTAAGAACTTACTGTCAAAGACTGTATATGTAACTAATAATCCACCTCCTGATAGATAAATTTGAATCTTAGTCATTTCTGGAAATGTTCTGTTTGGTAAATATTCTGTACAAAGCGTCCCTTTCCAAGAAGCTGGAAGTTCATGCAGGACGAGATCATAAGGAGGCAGAGAGAAGGCCGTGGAATACCATGATAAAAACAAACAAACAAAAACCTAGCTTCATGTTGAGATCTTTGATCCACTTGGACTTTAATTTTGTGCAGGGTGATAAATAAGGATCTATTTGCATTTTTCTACATGTAGACATCCAGTTAGACCAGCACCATTTGTTGAAGATGCTGTCTTTTTTCCATTGTATGGCTTTGGCATCTTTGTCAAAGATCAGGTGTCCATAAGTGTGTGGGTTTATTTCACAGTCTTCTATTCAATTCTGTTGATCCACCATTCTGTTTCTATGTCAGTTTTTATAACTGTTGCTTTATAGTACAGCTTGAGATCAGGGATGGAGATACCTCCAGAAGATCTTTTAATGTAGAGGATTGTTTTAGCTATTCTGGGTTTCTTGTTACTCCATATGAAGTTGAGGATTTTTCTTTCAAGGTCTGTAAAGAATTGTGTTGTTAATTTGATGGGAATTGCATTGAATCTGTAGATTGCTTTTGGTAAGATGGCCATTTTTACTATGTTAATCCTGCCAAGCCATGAGCATGGGAGATCTTTCCATCTTCTGATATTTTCTTCTATTTCTTTCTTCAGAGACTTGAAGTTATTTTTCATAAAAGTCTTTGACTTGCTTGGTTAGAGCTACACCAAGGTACTTTATGTCTTTTGTGGCTATTGTGAAGGGTTGTTTCCCTAATTTCTTTCTCAGCCCTTTTGTCTTTTCTATAGACGGGGGCAACTGATTTTTTTTTTTTTTTTTTTTTTTTAGTTAATGTTGTATCCAGCCATTTTGCTGAAGGTGTTTATCAGCTGCAGGAATTCCTTGGTAGATTTTTTTGGGATCAGTCAGGTATACTATCATATCATCTGCAAATAGTGATACTTTGACATCTTCCTTTTTTATTTGAATCCCCTTTATCTCCTTTAATTGTCTTATTGCTCTAGCAAGGACTTCAAGAACAATGTTGAAGAGATATGGAGAGAGTGGGCAGCCTTGCCTTGTTCCTGATTTCAGTGGGATTGATTTAAGTTTCTCTCCATTTAGTTTGATGTTGGCTATAGGCTTGCAGTATATTGCTTTTACTTTGTTTAAGTATGTGCTTTGTATTCCTGATCTCTCCAGAACTTTAAACATAAATGAATTTTGGATTTTATCAAATGCTTTTTCAGCATCTAAGGAGATGATCATGTGGTTTTCTCCTTCAGTTTGTTTATATGGTGGATTACATTGGTGGATTTTTTATATATTGAACCACCCCTGCATGCCTGGGATGAAGCCTATTTGGTCATGATGGATAATATCATTTATGTGTTCTTGGATTCAGTTTGCAAGTTTTTTATTGAGCATTTTTGCATCAATGTTCATAAAAGAAATAGATCTGAAGTTGTCTTTCTTTGTTGGGTCTTTGTGTGATTTAGATATCAAGGTGACTATGGCTTCATAGAATGAGTTTGGTAATGTTCCTTCTGTTTCTATTTTGTGGACTAATTTGAAGACAGTTGGAGTTAGCTATTCTTTGAAGGTCTGGTAGAATTCTGTGCTAAAACCATCTGGCCCTGAGCTTTTTTTTTGAAAGGGAGACTTTTGATGACAGCTTCTATTTCCTTGGGGGATATAAGACTATTTAATCTATTTATCTGGTCTTGATTTAATTTTGGTAAATGGAATCTATCAAGAAAATTGTCCATTTCAATTAGATTTTTATATTTTGTGGCATATAGCCTTTTGTAGTAAGACCTAATGATTGTCAGTTGTTATGTCCCCCTTTTCATTTCTGATTTTGTTGATTTGAATAGTGTCTCTCTGCCTTTTAGTTAGTTTGGCTAAGGGTTTGTCTATCTTGTTGATTTTCTCAAAGAATCAGCTCTTGATTTCATTGATTCTTTGAATTGTTCTCTTTGTTTCTAGTTTATTGATGTCAGCCCTGAGTTTGATTATTTCCAGCCATTTACTCCTCTTGGGTATATCTGCTTCTTCCTGCCCCTACCCCCCCCCCCCAAGGGCTTTCAGGTGAGTCATTAAGTTGCTTGTATGAGATGTCTCAAACTTCTTTCTGGAGGTACTTAGTACTAGGAACTGTCCTCTTAGCACTGCTTTCATTGTGTCCCATAAATTTGAGTATGTTGTGCCTTCACTTTCATTGAATTCTAGGAAGTCGTTAATATCTTTCTTTACTTCTTTCCTTACCCATATGCCATTGAGTAGAGAGTTATATAGTTTCCGTGTGTGTGTGTGTAGGCTTTTTGCTATTTCTGTTGTTGAGGTCCAGCTTTAGTCCATGGTGGTCTGATAGGATACAAGGGATTATTTCAATCTTCTTGTATCTGTTGAGGCTTGATTTGTGACCAACCATATGGTCTAGTTTAGAGTAGGTTCCATGAGGTGCTGAGAAGAAGACAAATTCTTTTGTGTTTGGGTGAAAGGTTCTATAGATGTGTGTTAGGTCTGTTTGATTCATGACATCTGTTAGTGTCATTGTTTCTTTGTTTAATTCTGTTTTGCTGACCTGTTCTTTGGTAAGAGTGGGGTGTTGAAGTCTTCCACTGTTAATGTGTGGAGATTTATGTGTGGTTCATGTTTTATTAATGTTTCTTTTACAAATGTGGGTGACCTTTTATGTGGGCATATATGTTCAGAACTGTGGTATCTTCTTGGTGGAATTTTCCTTTGATGAGAATATAGTGGCCCTCCTTATCTCTTTTGTTTAATTTTGGTTGAAAGTCTATTTTATTAGATATTAGAATGGCTACTCCTGCTTGCTTCTTGTGTTCATTTCCTTGGAAAACCGTCTTCCAGCCCTTTACTCTCAGGTAATGTCTATGTTTGTGACTTAGGTGTGTTTCTTGTGTGCAACAGATTGATGGGTCCAGTTTACACATCCATTCTGTTAGTCTGTGTCTTTTTATTGGAGAGTTGAATCCATTGATATTGAGAGAGATTAATGATTACTGGCTGTTAGATTCTTTGATTTTGATGTTGGTTGTGGTAGTGTGTTTGGGTGCATGGCTACTTTTAGTTTTGCTGCAGTGAGATTATTTATTTCCTGTGTTTTCCTGAATGTAGTTAGCTTTCTTGGGTTGTATTTTTCCTTCTAGTATCTTCTGTAAGGCTGGATTTGTGGGTAGATATTGTTTAAATTTGTTTTTGTTGTTGAATATCTTGTTTTCTCCAATTATGATGACAGCGAATTTTGCTGGGTATAGTAGCCTGGGCTGACATCTGTGTTCTCTTAGGGTCTGCATGATATTCGTCCAGGCCCTTCTGGCTTTCATAGTCTCTGTTGAGAAGTCAGGTGTGATTCTGATGGGTTTGTCATTATATGTTACTTGGCCTTTTTCCCTTGCAGCTTTTAGTATTTTTTTCTTTGTTCCATATACTTACTGTTTTGATTATATGGCAGGAGGACTTTCTTTTCTGGTCTAACTTATTGGGTGTTCTGTAGACCTCTTGTATTCTTATAGGCCTCTCCTTTAAGTTGAGGAAATTTTCTTCTATGATTTTGTTGAAAATATTTTCTGGGCCTGAGAGATGGGAATCTTCTTTTTTCCTCTATTCCTATTATTCTTAGGTTTCTTGTTTTCATGTTTTCTAGTATTTCTTGGATGGTTTGTGTCAGGAATCTTTTGGATTTAACATTTTCTTTAATGGATACATTGATTTCTTCCATTTTATCTTCCACACCTGAGATCTTTTTTTCATCTCTCGTACTCTGTTGGTTATGCTTACCTCTGTAGTTCCTGTTTTCTTCCCTAAGCTCTTTCTCTCCACAATTTCCTCCATTTGTGTTTTCTTTATTTTTTCCAGTTCTATCTTCAGATATTGAGCCATTTTGTTGATTTCATTCACTTGTCTGACTGTATTTTCCTGTTTTTCCTTCAGTTCCTTCACTGTTTGTTTGAACATTCCTTTGTTTTCTTTTATTTCTTTCAGTGATTTAAATATTTCCTATCTAAAGGCCACTAACTGTTTGGCTGCAGCTTTCTGTATTTCTTTACAGATGGCCATACTCTGTTTGACTTTATCTTCCTCTATTTTCGTTATGAATTTCATTTGTTTCCTCCATTATCCTCTTCATAAACATAGATGTAAGGTCGTCTTCTTGAATTTCACTTATGTTAGGGTATCCAGGGCTACTTTCCCCTAGATAACTGGGTTCTGGAGATGCCATATTGCTTTGGCTTCTGTTGGTTGTGCTTTTACACTGGCCTCTACCCATCTGGCTGTCCGGTGTTGGCTGTTAG